TCATTAGACTTAAAGCCTGAACTTTATATTTAACAGTTTAGTTGGAGCACTTCAGAAAATCATCCAAAGCCAAAGTGATCACTGCCTCTTTCAGCCTTCCAGAGGTATGCATGCATGAACTAATCTGTAGTCTTGCTGCTACATTCTAAAAACAATAGTTTATCAGCTATGGTGCTAGAGTGGCAAACACTTTTTCATCCTTCTATGGTATTTCACTTTAAAAATATCCCTTTAAAATGATCCCTTGAATACTAACTCATTAGTTCTACAGGTAGGTTACAGAAAGAGCCTAAACAGGGTAAGTCAAATCGAAAGTCTTAAAAAGAACAGAGTTAAATGTAGATGGAGTATAGGGAACCAGATGCTGGTCTCAAAATTATTAAGAAAAATGGTTAAGAGGAAATATCATTAATACTCAAGCTGTATATCATTTCACTTTGCAGCTGGTGAAAAAAGTGTCAAAGAAAAAGCATAAAACTTCTCCTGTTTATATATATAAAATCATGTATTATTTTCTAAAGTCTAATTTATCTACTTTTTATAATACTGTAATAAAAGCTCAGATTTTTTTCCTTCTCCACCCAACTACGTTACATCTAGTTTTTATCTCCAGTATTTGTGTGCAGCATTTTGTCATTACAAACTACTTTATCTGTTCATAATTATACTAGTTTGTCACTAATTTACTTTATGAAATTACCTGAATATAACTTCTTTCAAGTATATGCTTTCACGCGCCATTTCTTAGTGATCTAGTAAGTTTCACAATGTTTTAGTGAGATATGTCCTATATAATATTGCAGATGTTTTTCAGTGTGACGACATAATGCTTGGTGATGAAGTAATTAATAAGAGCTAACCTTCATTATAAATTCGTCCACTTTGCATTTTAAAAGCATTTCTCATCTTCAGAAAGCATAAACTTGACTCTGTTAATCTCACAAACACTGTGTCAGATAGTTACTAGTCTATTAATAATAAAAACATGCTAACCATTCTACAGAGAAAGTAAGTTATGTTGTTACCTACTTCCACAGAAATCAGCAGAACATTGGCTAAGAATATTATGTGCAATACTTGTTCTGCAAAAAGTATTTTCCAAAATGTAAAATCATGTACTACAGAATTCATCCAGGGAAACGCACAAGAAGGAGAAACAGTAGTGACTGACTTGCTCATGTGGAAGAACAGAAAAACTATGTAGGGCTTAATGTGGAAAATATTGGAAGCCACATCACTGTTATCCTAAGATACCTCTTAGCAGTATTAGAAAATAATATTTTTTACTGTTCTGATTGCTTCTCATGCCTGAATTTTATTTCCCAGTTACATCTTAGTTTTATATATATATATATATATTTAATATCAACTATTTTCTGACTTTGTAACTATAGTCTGGTTTTCTCTCTATCATTTGTATTTAGTCGTGACTATAGTAAGAAGCAATTGTCGGTTTGTTCCGAGTAGAACTAAACTGAGAAGGCCCGTCATTCCTGTCTACTGACCATCTGATCCTGGTGTATTAGGGCACATAGTTAAAACATTACAGAATCTTCTGATGAGCTGATCCGTAAACAGTGTCAAAACAGCTGTTTAGCAGTAATCTTCACTACCTATACAGTAGATCTCATTGCTTACAAATCTGAAATTCAAGACAAGGATTGTTACCTTTTCTGGTAACTTCTTAATTTTTTTTGCACTAGGTTGTAATTGTGCAAAGTAATTACCCTACTTGTCATTAAATGTGTATGTTTGGTCTTGGTCACATTTTGTATAGGTATATTGGTAAGCATTTTGGTATATATGCAACATTGAGTACTGTTGTTTATTTAACAGGTGAAACTTCAATCAAAGACTATAATAAAATTCCTGCTTTGTGTTCTATGAGACCTTAGAAGTCTCATTACAGGAATATATTAAAAAGCAGAGATTATAAATTAAATTTAAAATTCCCCATGGACTTTTGTAACAAAACTACCCAGTATCTATTAAATTTAACCAGTGATAACTGCATTCTGCCTACAAACTACTTCTGTTTCCAAACTCTGCATGTATGTGTCTCATCTAAGAGACAAGTAAGCTTCTTTATTGTGCAAAATGATTCCTATGTAGTTTATAAGTCCTTTGGGGACTTTATTGGCTGAAAAGCAAAATAAAATGCGAGATCAAACTTGCTGGTGTGTTGGTTGTTTCTCTCCTTTAGTAAGTGGAGTTTGTAGAAATAATTTTTATGCATAGATTCTAGTTGCTTCAATAGTTGCAGTTCTATAGCAAGGGTCTCCTTAGTATTAAACCGACATAGTACTATCCTCAAAACACAGATAATCATATGTTAACTTCCCACCTAAATGTTTAATAATCATATAGAAGCATGTTATTCCACAGACATAGTTCATGAAGCAACATGTATAAACATATATATAAATGCTACAAAGCAGATTCCATGTATTTATCTGTTTTGGAGAAAGTTAAAAAGTATACACATTTGCTATTTTAAGATCTGAAAGCACATCTTTCAACAAAATTTAGCTGCTTTTATTTTGTACATGTATTTCATTTTATCTGGAAACTTTCTGATGTTAGGAATAGAACCATTGTAGTTTCTCATGTTTGCTGCCAGAATCTATGCTTGGTTGCTCAACTAAAGACCTTATATTGCTAATTACTACCACATGCCCATATCCCAAGCAAAGGAAAACTTATTCATTCTGACAATCAATTCTCTCAACACTGAATTCCAAATGAAAACTTAAATTTTGGCCAAACATAACATTTCATCAATCTTGTTCTACTGACTGCAAAAGCAACATCAAACAAGGGGTGCTAACAGCTTTTTACTGTGCAGTTCCCAAGCTTAGATTCTCTGATGAAAGACCCACATTAGCAAAAAACGTGTTTATACTACCTAGTAATTAACAATTGAACCAGAAAACAGTGCATAAAGTAAATGGAACAGTTTGTACGCTGACAACAGAGCTGAGTTTCAAATGAGAAGTTATATGGGCAGTAGACATCAGCAGAGACCAGCAGAGAAAGCACTGACAACAGAGTGAGCTAAAAAACAAACAGGTAGTTGGAATAAATAAAGACAAAAAGAAAAGGTGAAAAATAAAATTAAGCACGCCCCAAAGCTAGCAGAAGCTTGTAATCTAGAGTTGAGCTTTTCAGGATGCGGGGTTCTGACTGAAGATCAGGTCTAAGTCAGAGACATCTAAGCAATGCTAGGTACTAGTGACAATGTAGAAGGGGAGAGGCTGAAACTCTGTGTAAAATAGTTTTTAACCATACTACCCTCTGTTATAACTCCTCTGGAGCTTCAAAAATAGAGGTGTAAGTTCTGCGTTTGAAAAACTTCTCTCTTTGAGAAATCAAATATGAAACTGAGTAGGCCTCTGTCACAAATAAACATTTTAGGAAATTAATGTTACTACTCTAGCTCAGAAATAAAGCATTTTGTTAATCTACATAAGTGAATAACGATGCAAGTTTCCAACATTAGTGTTTACAGTAAAAAAAAAAACCAAACAACTTTAGACATTTGAGGGTATCTCAAGAAACGGAAGTATTGAAGTTTTCAATTGTGTCATCTAATTGCTTGAATATTATTGAACATACAGTAGTATAAGCTGTAACTACAGAAAAAACTATTATCTACCCAATGGTATAAAACAGTGCACTAGAATTAGCTCTTTGGGACATTTACAGTTTTTCTGCTCCACAGAGAGCAGAATCAACTTGATAAAACCATAATCCACATTTATAAAATGATCCATGTGTGGTGATTTGAAAGGAATCAAGTAAAAAATGTACCTTCTTAAAGTACGGAGCAGGGACAATTAATTAAATGTGTTGTTTGCAGTACCTTCTTTATGTTATATGGAAAGGATTCTATATGAGTAGTCACAACGATATGTAATGAAACAAAAGATGGCAACACTAAAGGTGATATAGAGGAGAAACTACTATATCACCAAGTACATATAGTTCTTTAAAGGCTATATCCCAACAGGTCTAGATACTGGGAATGCCAGAAAGAGTTGGTTTTAACTTGGTCAAGAAAACAAGTAAGCTTTCAATAGAAATGTAATGAGATAATGTGGTCCAATAAAATTTGACTTTTGCTACCAGGTAAAAATAGTATGTTTTATGGGTCTTGTTTTCTTCCATACTATATTGATACTAAGGTTACTACTTGCTCTTCTTAGGACAGGTTTTATACAGTGTGTGGAAGACAATCACTTTAAATCCCTGGTCATAAATCCTAAAATCACAAGTGTTTGCAATATTCATATGAAGTCAAAAGGATCTGCATGAGATCCAAATCTGCTGTTTGAACAAGGAAAAATGGCACTATCAGACTTCTGACAGTCAGCCTAATGGAATAACCCAATCAACATAAATCTTACATTTTGCACTCCAGTAAACCCAAGTTTTCTAAAGAACTGAGTTGTTTGAAAATCATGTGAATTATCATTGTCACGTAGTTAAGAGATGATCACATGATAATCTGATGCCCAAAACTGTGAAGTGACAAGTCACCCTTGTTCCAGAAGTTAACTGCATATGCAACAGCAGCATTTTTAACAAGATATGTCAGTGTAGTCTTAGTGGCATCCAGGTTCTCCTGAAGTAGGGACAAAATGTTGTGACTTGTACCATAGCATAGCCCAGGTCTCTAATCATAGTGTGACAACTCTCCAGTGGTAACATCTGATGTCAAGGAATACAGCCTTATAAGCTGTGAGTCAGCTATTACCACCTTCAGGGGCTCTTTAAAGTCACACAACCACACCTGGTCTTTTTTGACTTACTTTCTGCCTCGGGTTGAGTTAAAAGTCCCGCCGTATTTCTTCCGATTAAGGATGAGAGCAGCAATTTCTGGCACGTAGCGAGCAAACATTGCCTACATGCATGAAACAAAAACACAAAAAAAAAAAGAAAATGGCATGCAGAGAGTGTTCTACTGCAGCAGAGGCAGCAGAGCCTCTTGGGATACTTACTTTCTTCCACTAACCGCACTATAGGAACCACCATATTTCTTGCGGTTTCCTATTAACTCTATGATTTCAGGGACGTAGCTGGCAAACATGGCCTAAGAAGAAGATAGGAGACAGAAGAAAAGACTAAAAAGAGAGGCCAAAGAAAGGGGGATGATGAATATTTTCAGAAGATATGTATCTTTAAGATCTGAAAATGCAAAAGAATTAGATCTATGAAGCTGTTTAAAAAGAAAATTTAAAAAATGTGAAAGTTCTTATCAAACAAAATAAGAGGGCTTAATGTAAAAGTTGGTCTTGCAGAAGGTGCACACCTTATAAATTAAGAAAATGGTCAAACGAGGAAAAATAGGCACACAAAACAAAACAAGAACAAAATTAATTCAAACTGGTATATAATCGTAAAATACAGTTATGTCTAATTCTTCCTGAAGAGAGGAGGGGAAAAAACCTCTCCCAGCTCCACTGCAAAAACCAAAACCAAATATTATCATTATTGTTACACTTCTATTTTAAAAGACAGACTTTTTTCCCCCATTACTAGGATTCAAAAGAAGACAAAACCAAGATGGAATCAGGGGTTAATTTCCCCTGTCAAGACACAAAAAGGTCATACCCCCTCCCCCCAAAAAAACTTTTCCAAAAGTTTATGTCTTTCAAAGAATTGGAATAACATGTGATAGAAAAAAAGGTTTTGAGGAGAAAATAAAAATTATTCTGCCATGTTTTGTCCAACAAACATCTTCCTTGTGGCTGGATACTTCGAAGAGCTACTGCTGGTTGACACGGTCTTTGCCTTTGTACGTCAATAAACACAGATGGGAATGCATGTTATTATGCTCATATATATACTCATATATATGTATCTCTGTGCATCTCGTATATGGCATTTGTAACATTTGTTATACACATATCACCTCTGTAAGATGTATGTATATGTAAAAATCCATACATGACAGCAAAGTAACAATATATATATGCATGTACGTGCACAGTATATATTGTGAGTCATCTATAAAGCACTTACCTTGCACAGAGTAAACATTAAAATAAACCTTGCTGGTTTAGAGAATAACAATGCAACAGGTCTTGTAATATTACTGACACTGATAAATAATAGAAAAGTTGACGTAAGACAATTAGTAACTTTGGTGCTATGTATACACAGGACAAAGAATATGAGAATTTGCTCATACAAAAGGATACTGGTTATGACTATATGATAAATTGTGAGTTAAAATTGTGCTACATGACATGAAAGGATGTTTGAAATTAAAGAGAATGTGGTTTTCTATCATCTGATTCAGGCAAGTTGCTCTTTAAGGCTGTCCAAAGCCACAGTGTTTGTTGGAATTCTGGGAAGGAACACAGAAGGGTGGGTAGGACTTCTGAAACCGCAAAGTGCCTTTAAGTATCAATAGCAGCCTTAAAAAAAATGCACTACAGTCAGTCACTAAAAAGTAAAGCACTATAAACAACATTATAAGCTGAAATATTAAGGCACTTCATGTATTCACATGCATTACTCATTTAAATGAGCTGACTGGACTAATTTGACAAGCTCTGCCAAAATATTTATCTATAGAAAAAAAAATGGGGTGTATTAAACATACGTAAAATTTTATAATTACTTTTAATTCACTACACCAGATATTATTATTTCTTTAATTATAATGTTGAGATATACAGAATCAAGTATTAAGGTAGCTGGAATAATAATTATAATAATGATAATAATTATGAGTTTTTACCAATCCCCCAAGGATGAAGAAGACCATGAAAAGGCGACCAAGGGTTGTTTTTGCATAAACATCTCCATAGCCAACAGTGGACATTGTAACCATCAGTAAATAAACACATTCCCAATATGTTAGCGGTTGATTATTTTGGAAATTTTCCCATGGATCCCCTGAGTTCTCCACCTAAAATGTACAAGAAAATATATAATGAATTAATAGAGTTGTACCACAAACTAACTCTTCTGATAAATGCTTATGTGCGTGTGTGTGTGTATATATATATAATTTCGCATATAACATAAACTCTGGATCCTTTACTGTGATTTGTTTTGAACAAATACAGAACCTAACCCTGTCTCAGTTATACCATTACAGTTCTTTTGCCAATATGCATAGTTTTGACACGCATACTATTTATGGAATGAATCTTTTCCATTCACCATTAAATAATTTAACTTATTTATGTAGTTAGGTAAGTTCATTTTATAACAGTTTGTTCTAAACTTTTTCACAGTGAATCTTACTTGTAATACAATTGTACTTAATGTTTTTGTTTCAAAGCATTATGTAGCTATTAAAGGCATTAGTGACATGTTAAGTTTATTGATACACTATTACTTTTCCAAGAAGCCAGCTACAGCATATGACCATTATAAATTTATGAGTGGGAAAGGAGTATGCCCTCGAAATCTGTTCCACAGTGAAAAGTTTGAAATGTAAGGATTCCTACAGTACAACAGAGAAACTTACACTGAAAAGCAAAACAAAAAACAAACAAAAAAAAAAAGACAAAACACACACACACAAAGCCCTAGAATATAGCATTCCCTCCCTGCTGATGTAATTTTAAAAAGCTTTATTTTTTTCTCTTGGTTCAAAAAAAAGAAAAAGCTAATGTTTCTATGATAAAAATGTCATATTTGCCCAGAGGAATGTAAAAATACGGTCATCCTTGAAAGAAAGTGTATAATAAACTAAAACATCCAAAATTTTCCTGCATCTTTATAAGAGTGAAAATTAAATTACTAGCTGGTATAATAGGAAGATAAACGTTCTGAATTTAATCTTATAGAGCTGGCTGTGCCTTAAGGTAATCCAAGTGAAGTCAACTAAATCGCCAACATCAATATCATTAAATCATAATATTACTCCAAAACCATTCCTGAATAACTTATTACTACTAGCAGCTTAAAATTTTCCTGATTCTAAGTTGATCATAAAAGGTACTTAAAGGACAAACACTTAACCATATTTAATTTTATTTAGCAAACAAATCAGTAAAAGCTATAAGTTTAAAATGTTTAAAACACACAATTGACATATACTGATCGTATATATGCATATTTGCATTTATGAACTCATATGTACTTCTATACTAACTATCTTACATTTTTCACATATTGTTATGTGCGGAATAAAAACCTATTAGAAAAAAAAATCTATGTTATCAGTGACTGAAAGTGACACCAAAAATTTGAAATTTAAAAACAAGAGAGAATTAAATAATCCCTATAAAAATTGCTACCCGGAATGCTAGCAATCCCATTACTTCTCAAGGAAATACAGAACTGCTTTCTTCTGGCAAAACTATTGATTTCCCAGGACCTCAGCATCATTTCAGTCTCCCAATCCCTTCCAGGAAGCACTCTGGTAGTTATTTAGGAAACATTGCCACCTACTGGTAAATTATAATCATTCAAGTAGTTGCATCACTCATTTTATAACTGAGGTTAATGATGTATTCCTTACTATTCAGAATTAGTTTTGAGTAGAAACCTAAAATTTGGGAAGCTGTGATGTCTTTTTTTATTGTACGCTATAGATGTGTTAAAGGATTATCCAGAGCAAGGCAATTTCAGGTAATAAAGTAGCTCAGAGAGCAGATGACCCATGAGAAAAAGTCAATGAAGTATTTTCAAGTATAAATACACTTACCAAATGTATGAACCCAGCTGCTGTCAGCCACGTGCTGATAAATATAGAGCACAGATTCACTAGCTTGATGGAATTACTGAAAAGAAACAAAACCCAACAACAAATAGGAACTTAGACTGGAATTTATCACAGATTTTTAGTATGTACCCATGTACAACTCCATACTTCAGACTGAGAAAGTCTGATGATGATTTCTAAAGAGAAGCAGGCTCCCCAAAAAAATTAATCAAAAGCCTATGCAAAATGCGTGTTATTTTGTCTTTACAGAGTTCATATTTGCATAATTAGATAGCTTGAAAGAAAAATTCCAATGCATTTGAGACCACAAAGACTAATGGAAAGCTTAGCTACATCTGTACTCATAATCAAACAAATAGAAATAAATGATGATTTTTCACAAATAAATTTGGTGCCTCTCAGTACACTTACCTTCTCATTTTTCATTGCTATACACCTCAGTTATTTACATGTAAATATTCTGGTACCCTGGAATACATCCATGCAGGTCCAATGAATTAAATTGAGCAATGCCTATTAACATTAGCTGCTGAACATTGCATTTATACAAACGATTGATGTTTTTTGAATTATTTCCTTTTTCGTATGCTGCTTCTATATTCATTGTGCTTTTGACCCCAGGCCTGTAGAGGCTTTAAAAATTAACAGCTAGAGGATGTTTTTGTTGCATACTCACCACATGTTAACACTTGCATACATGACCACAGGGCAAGACTATTTTCCTACAGTTACAGCAAACGATTAATGAACCATTGCAGCCAATCTGTAAATGTCATGCTGCTTTTGTGAAAAACTTACAATTCTCAAATTAAATGACTTGGGTATTTTACAGTTCCTGTGTAAGTCCTAAGTACTTTTCAGATTATTCGGCTTGCATGAACTTCTATGGACTTCTTTGTGGAAAATCATATGGAGTTAGAGTATTTCATACTTTACATTCATATTTTTCTAAAAATTAAAATAAAAAATTGAAACCTACCAAACTCAAAATTATTTTCAGTCCCACTGAGTAGTATATTCTCTATTGTTGTAAGTGATTTTGAATCAACAACCTCACTCATTTTCAGGAAAATACCATACTTAAAAGCTTGTAGAAGAAACATAAGCAAAGCTTGCTCCCTCTCTTCTTACAAAAATTACAATGATTTTAAAAGCTAAGCAGGATATTCGGCAAATACACAAGGAACTGAAGTCTGTGTATTACTATGAATAATCTTACTCATGCAGGGAACTGTTTTGGAAATAGCTCTCCTTTGGTTTTGAAAACATTTCTAAGAAAGGATAATGTCTCAGAAAAATCACTATTATCCCTAAAACAATACACTCCAAAAGAACAAAAATGAGGAAAAATTCACTATCCGTTTTAGCAGTAGTAGTTTTGCAGTATAATTAATTAATATTTCTGCTTATAACTACTTTAAGGACAATAAAAATGCATTATTTTCTAAACAAAGTTGAGAAATGAACCAGGAAAATTAATCAGATCAGTTCCATTAAAAATGTTTTTAAGAGTTACAGTTAGCAAAGTGGGCATCTATGCGTACTAGGAAAGAAATACAATTGGACAATATGACAGATGCTGTAATGAATACTGTATTCAAAAATAAGATAATATACCAGCAGTCTGCAATTAATTAGCATTCACCTACATCAACACATATTCCCTATTTCTCTCTTTCTTAAGGTATGGTTGATTAAGGTTCATATTTTGTTGGTGATAACATGCAGCGATAGCACAGGAGCCTAATGAATAGGTTCTTAGGTTAAACAAAATCATAGAAATCATGCTGATGCAAAGCTCAGTTATGAAAGGCTAAATATCACCCTTCACCTGAACTTAGAACAGGAGAGGCTCCTGATAAAATAATGTGTCAGTTGGTCTCCACATATTACTGTAATACAAGTAAATGACAGCAGCCATCAAGAATAACTATTTGCCTGACTTGTCTGGTATGTTTTATTTTTGCAGATTTATTAAACATTCTACCTTCTCTCTCCTCTATGAAATACTCCCTGTGTTTCTGTCAGAGTCTAAATATAGATGAAGGATTAGTCACAAACATTTTCCTCCTCTTTAAGCTCTTTCCAACATCTGTGCAAAATCCTTCGCTGCGACCCCTGTCTAAGCCTTTGTAGTTTTATTGAAAAATATTAGAAAACAGTGAAGGAGAGAAATTTTAAACTGAACACCACACAATTCATTCTATTTCATAAAATACAGGAACAAAAAATATTAAGTAAAACATGTTTAATTTCAAATTAGGGAAACAAATAGAACCTTGGGAGAGTATGGTCTTTTAACACACTGCTGTAAAATTTTGCTTTGCCTTACTGATTCTTTTCAAATATAAGTAATAATTTTTCAGATATTCTAATAATTATCTAACACTCCCACACTACTTTGCCAGTCTTCTCACTGCCTCTATTTTGGCATGGTTTAGCTTCTTCCTTTGGATTCCAGTGTTTGGAATGGCCCTTCTGCCCATTAAGTAAATAATATATGTTCCTTTAATCCTCGTATCTCAGTCACTTAATTCCAGGAGTAATTTTAATTTATATGTTAGAGTAAACTTTTTTTTCTTTACTGTGAGAACGAGGAAAAGAAGAACAGAGCTTCTTCCCTAATTGCACTAAACATTAAAAACACAGCAGTGCCCTTTATACCCTATCAGTTTCTCATCTTGTCAGTAGTTACTTGTTATTAATGCCAAGCACACTGAAACGCCCCTATTTGAATTAGTTCCATAGTTTTTTCATATAAACACATATCACCTCGAATGGAAAACACTTTTATCTTTTGCAGAATTTTTAAATAATAACAAGTGTTAGGTTCTTTTTCCTATACTATCATTCCAGAGCTAGTAATGATATACTGAATTTGGTATCTCATTTCAACAACTCAATTTCTGTCACTAACCCTCGGTTTTACATTCATAAACTATGATGTTGAAAATTTCATTAAAACCTTAAAAATGGATTGCAAGAAATGCTAAAATATCTTAATTCTAGAAGTTTTTTAACCATCTCTAGGTAAAACAACATTGCAAAAGCTGGTTAAAAGTATACGATACAGTGTAAGAGTTTAAGGTAATAACAACAGTTTAAGGCTACTGTATGTAATTGAAATGACTGCTTGCATTTAGAGAAGCAAATTTTATTTAAATAAAAATAAATTTATTGAGACTACTAGTTTAACTGCTCTAACTCTTGCAAAATTACTAAAGATTGCCCATTAACCACAAGTGCTCAGCACACTGCTTTTTTTTTTTTTTTGAGAAACATTAATAATGCAGAAATAGAAATTCTCAATTAAAAAGTGTTTTGGCACTGTAACAGAAAAAGTGTACCTACCACAAGAACGACAGTTCTTGGTTGTGACTGAAATATGAAAATTTCTCATTGAAGTTAGCAGTACCAGTAACAAATTAATTTTCTAATTTTTTGTTTTCTAGAAGCTAAATTCATGCAAGACAACAAATAAAAACCAAGGCAGTCACATAGTCAAATTTATGTCAGGTGTAACTAAAAACTTTTCTAAAATAAGTGACATTCTGTCACTTATTTTAATTTGACTCATCCATTTTTACCAAATTATGTTTTGTGAACGTTTATAGTATTCCAAATGATTTAATTCATTTCAGGTTATTAAGCAAGATACAAAAGAGAGCAGACGAGTCTTTCTATTGAAGAACAGGAACAGGGAGAGACATAAAAAATTGTTTTGAGGCAGTGACAGTTTTTAAGTTAAATGTGATGAACTGCTGGGGATTAATTAGCTGAGTAAATTGAAACAGACATATAAGGAAGCTTTGCTTTACAGGCTTTCTAATAATCAACATTTGAGGTTTACAGATATTTGGACATTCATATAAATAATCACAAAGATGGTGATATCTAATCTAAGAGTAAATTTTGCAGCAGAGAAATGCTATTTAAATGAACAGATCAATCTTGAATAAGCCAGCTCTGAATACACTGAATGTGTTTAATGCAGTATCCCTTCATTTATGGATCTGGAAGTTTACAAATCCACCACTCCTAAAGGTGCTTTTAGCCTTTATCCAAAATCCTTTGAGATTACAGTTCTTCTCCATTGACTGCCATGTCTTTTGGCGAGGTTGTTGTGTGCGTTAAATGCAAACTCATTGGATATTCTCAGCTCCTGCAAACATTACACTCCTTTATCATACTGCTAGTATGCTAAGCTACTGGTGCACATCTTCACTCCACATTCATTGATTTCTTTATAAGAACTGGATTCCTTGCAGTCACATGGCTAAAGACAGATAGTGTGAGAGTTTTACAGCAAAGAGAATAGTTTCGAGGTTAATGGTTGAAGAAACAGTTGTTTACCATGACTGTGTACAAATCTCAAGGATCTATTTGCCCATGACTACTAATTAACATAGCAAATAAATCGAGTTACTTGCATATAAAGCCCTCACACATGCATCATCAACTGGTGGAGACAGCATAGGATTTCAGAATGGAACTGAATTTACAGTAATTATTGGAAGCAGGGTTCAAAACTTCACCATGGGGCATTTTAGGAAATGATGAAGGGCAGTATGTCTTCAACTGCAAGGCATGGGATAGTTCCTTTTTATTTCCTTCAAAGTGATCTTTTGTTCAACGTTGTGCTGCTTCTGCACAACTTTCATGTATTAATAGCCCAAAGAATCAGTGAAAGCCAGAAGGTTACTTGGAGTATTTTAATTATTCTTTGAAAGAAATGCTAATGACAATGAACACAATATAAAGATAGCTCAGTAAAATTAATTTTTAATGGTTTTGATGTGAAAAAGGATGCTCAGTACAGAGAAACTGAAATAGAGCCACAGTGATTATTTCTCAAAATACTTTTAAACTGTATTCTGTTGAATGAATTTTGATTTCTGTTTTTCCAAGGCAGCAGAATATGGACTGATTATGTGGAAAGAAGCAATGTTTAATCAGTGCAGAGCTCTGTAATTCATTCTGCTTTTAATTTATCAGCACACAGTCTTGCTGAGGTATTTCAAATGTAACAGCATATCAAGTAAAATCTACTGATCACATAGCAAAAGATGTTGACAATGATAAATCATTCATCAGCAGAGAAAGGTTTAAAGAACAGATAACAAGCATTTTTATCCAGAAAAGAAAGCCATTTATGTTCTGTCACCAATGCAACTAACTCGGAATGTAAGAAAAGATCTTACCTTGTTTTAAGGATATTCAGGAACTGCAAAATTTCTGAAAACTGTATCAGTCTAAGGGCTCTTAAAAATCTTAAACCTGCATTAAAGAAAAAAAAAAGCTCTAGCAAAGAAGAATTAAAATTATAACATTTCACTTACAATGGCAGTGATCAGTTAAATCAACATAGGTAGCACACAAAATATCAAATACCTTTCAAATGTTCTTCCATATTTAATGGTTCCAAGATTCTTACCAGGTCTTTTTCAAACTGTTTTAAAGTTATTTCCTTAATAGCTGAAGTAACCTACTAGTAAGCCTTAGTTTATGTAGGAAGCCATGGGAGGAGTCATACAGGCTGAAAGCTAAGGGGAAAAAACCTCACTGAGGTTCTGTTGGTAGTTCTAGTGCACGTGTCCTTCTCTTCCAGGCTGTCAGACACATACAGCCCTGAAACTCCTCAGTCCTCCAAGTTCCCATGTTGCTTCAGTAAAAATAAGAGATTATGGGCAAGAGATCTGATAACCTGGATAAAGTAGACTGTGTATATGCCTGATTAAATTGGTAAATCTTAATGACGTAAAATCTTTTATTGTAATAATGCTCCCTATCTCCACCCTAATTTCAAAAAACTCAAGCAGTAGAACAGAAAAACAATACATTCTCTCTTAAAAATGACAAATCTACTATAATTCTTTCCATCAGACTATAACTACGGGAATAGATTAGACTTTGGATAGTGAAGAAGCAACTATTTTTACAAAGAAATAACATTTTTGTGTTGAAATTGGGTTGTGTAAATAGCAATGCCCAGTCAACTACAAAGCCAGCGAGACATATACAAAGAGAGTGCGTGCAAGAGAAAATACTATAGAAGATTAAGGGCTTAAATTATTAAGAGAGACTTACGCTGATAGTAAATAATTTGGCTGCTGATCTTTGGCATATGAATAAAAGTACATTGTGTATTATACACACGCACAGCTTATAAAATTAAAATAAGGCTTTAAGGATAATTTTTGACAGTTACATAAAAGTTGTGTAACATGGTATTGCGACTGTTACATTTAGATCCAGGGCACCTTTTTCCCATACATCCTCTTTACCGACATTTATTTTATCCAATTCTAGTGCTATAAACCACTTTTTATTTCCAGAAACTTAAGGAAAGACTGGTCGTGACAAACAGACAAATATGGCCACAACTTTCATCATCTCAGTGGAGTCAAGTGGTTCCCCTCAAAAGCAAAGATGCATGTGGCAAGATGTGTTTAAATCAAGGTTTAATTTCCTCAGTATTCTTGGAAAGTTGTTGAATAAAATTTTTACTCTTGCTAAGGCTTATAAGTAGCCCTATTAAGGCTCATTAGTAGCCTTAACAAAGTAGAAGATCACTCCATGTCCTATTACATGGATACAAAGTTTCTTTCTAATTGCTGACTGTGGGGAACTCTGAAGATTAATCACAACTTAAAAACTGGATTTTGGGATCTAGACAAAAAGCAATAAAACGATGCTTAAAAATTATAAACTTCAGATCCATTTGCAATTAGAGGATGATCATTTTGGATTATAGTGTTGAAACTGTGAGACATGTCCCTCTGCTCCACTTGCAGCAGTTCCCAGAGTTGCTACTCCCATGCAAAGAGATGCGGCTGGACAGGGATGGAGAGGACCTTTACTAGCAATCCTGAACTTTCTCAGTTCTGTTCCATCAGCTATCTCCCTCACTCCACTCTCTAGGAACTTTTTGGAAAATGGCTGGTAGGAGAAAAATCCTTCTTTTCAAAGGCTTTGCATTGTATCTGAAAGTTAATGAGATGGCCAAGTTACCCATTGCAATGTTTCAAAAAGAAGCCTAAGAAACATCAAAGTTACCAATAAAACCTCTATCTCCAAACTCTTACAATTCTTGAGGTATATTTTAGTTGCTGAGACATCAGATGATAGAATAAAAAGACTACAGCTTTAATGCATTTTTTCTGTAAGAAGAAAATAATTACGGATTAAGTTCTGTATTAGCTACGCTATTTTAAAGAATTCCCTTCAGAGAATAGAATTTAAAAAAAAAGTGAAGAGTTTGCTTGAACAGCTTAATTGAAGTAGAAATAGAACTGGCTTGTAACTGTAAAAGGTTATAATCACCTTGTAACCTCTGTATTTTGTCTAGGACATTACATGTGGGGCTGTGTTTTATAGCTACAGGAATTATAAAGAAAGGACCAAATTTGGATCTTCAGAAACTTCAGTGTATTACCTGCTTTGTGTGGTTCAAATACGAAGAACAAAAATGAAATGAAAATCAGTTTTCCTTATCATGATGGCAAATTAATTACTTCCCATATTCAACACTTTTAAACACCCAAACAGATCTATTATTAGATTCCGATATGCATATCATTTTATATGATTTTCATAGAATCATTGAACAGTTTGGGTTGGAAGGGACCTTTAAAGGTCATCTAGTCCAACTCCCTGCAATAAGCAGGGACATCTTCAATCAGATGAAGTTGCTCAGAGCCCCATCCAGCCTGACCTCAAATGTTTCCAGGGATGGGGCATACACCACCTCTCTGGGCAACCTGTTCCAGTGTTTCACCACCCTCACTCACCTTCCTTGTATCTAGTCTGAATCTACCCTCTTTAAAAGCATTACCCTTTGTCCTATTGCAACAGGCCTTGCTAAAAAGTCTCTCCCCATCTTCCTTATAAGCCCCCTTTAGGTACTGGAAGGCTGCTCTAAGGTCTCCCTCGAGCTTTCTCTTCTCCAAGCTGAACAACCCCAACTCTCTCAGCCTTTCTTCCTAGGAGAGGTGCTCCAGCCCTCTGATCATCTTCATGGCACTCCTCTGGACCTGCTCCAACAGATCCAGGTCATGCTTACGGTGGGGGCCCCAGAGCTGAAGGCAGTACGGCAAGGGGGGGTCTCATCAGAGCAGAGTAGAGGGGCAGAATCCCCTCCCTCAACCTGCTGGCCACGCTGTTTTTGACGCAGCCCAGGATACAGCCAGCTTTCTGGGCT